AAAGCAATATTTGCCCATGAATGGTTCTTTATAGCATCATTGTTTATTATCAAAGCAATCCCGTGAATTTATGTCCAATTGGAACCTGACGTCAACAAGCGCTGATTAAAGCCGGCGCCCAGCAGTGCTGGTGTATCTGTACCCACGTAACCTTCATCGTGTTCATTTGATTTCTGTGACACCCGCCGGTAATCTCTAATCATAACTGGCATGTGAGATAACAATTTGGGTTTATGACATAACTTGCAGCACGCCGGTGCGTCTTCCTCCACAAATGGATTAAAATACGCCACATTTGTGGAAATTAGCACGACTGGGAATGGTGCCAAAAGATATCAATTAAGCGGGGATTAGGTGTACCGAGCGCCGGGTACAGATAATGGCTGCAGGAGCTCGATATAGACAAACACACAATTATCATTAGGCCTCTGTTTACCCGGAATACATTATGACGCATAACATAATTGCTTTCTTGATGCAGGCATAGAATGATAAATCTGTTTGTGAAATTGCTGCCTCATTTTGCTTTATAATTAGCCATTTGCCCGTAAAACCACATCAACACAGCTTCCGCAATATGTCTATGCTATTACTCTTCCGTAGTAATAGTATTAACATAAAGGTAAACAAAGCTATCTATATCATCCATCTCTTGTCGAGAAGGAATCTATATATATATATATAGCACTGGGATATTTGCTGGTGTTCTCTGTTGAAACCCAGTTCTGTACCCAGCATGGTTGGCGTTAAAACGTTAACAACTCTAAATCCCCAGTCCTGTTTACCGACCTTGTGTTCTACATTACGTCCCTCCCAGCGGGGTAGTGATACCTGACCATGTGTGCAGGATCATTACTGCCTTAGATTGCAGGTTGCTGATAGCGGTTTTAAGCACCAATTATTTTCTGTGTTACGATTTTGCAAACTTAATTACCATATCTTGTAGTTTATCCCCATCGATGGTTTGTATGGGTATAAGATACACCAGGGGTGGCCAGGTGCACGCCAAATACGGTCTTTATGAAGGACTATAATCTTATTTTCATGTAGTGGGGGGAACCTCATGAAAGTATACTTACTTATGCGCGGGGTAATGCCGTGCCTATCACTCAGTAAAGTTGGAGCGCATCGTGCAGATCCAATTTCGCGAACAAGATTACAGAACGTAATTCACGAGAAAGCCTCCACAGTGCAGTTTAAAAGGCTCCAGCGGTGCCCACGGCGTGCTTTATTGCAATCCGTTAGTGTATCCGCGATATACATTTCCCCCAGATATCATCTCTCGTGCTCCACTGCTTTAAAGCTTATTCCCGCAGCACAATTACATAATGTCGTATAAAGTAAGTTTTATCTGGATGACTGATCTCGGGAGGCTTGCCTGATGTGGTGACATGT